AATTACATGTCAATTCAGCATTTTAGACTATGTCTTTAGTTAACATTGTAATAATCCAAATGTAATCTCAATTTTTCCTATAGCTGTAGTTAGCTTAAATGACACTGATGAGCTTACCAGTGCCGAATCTTCAGAGGATGAAGAGGAGTCTGGAGATGAGAAGGTGGAGGACTCAGGAAGTGAGGTTGAGATTATTAAAGAAGTAAAGGGTAATGGCAGGAGTAACCACCAGCCTTCTCCTGCCCTTTACATGGAGGAACTTCCACCAAATGAGCAGTACCTCCAAGATCAAGCCAATGCAGTGCTGTCACTGGTCACACCTGAGGCACCGCTAAAAGTGAGTGCATCATTGAAGCCTTATTTTGACGTGAAAACAAATCTCATGCACTGTCCTAACCAGGTGAAATGTGACAAGTTTCATTTAGCATATTGAGTAAAATGGCCTGAATGCAGCTGGAATACTGCAGCAAATTTCCAAAAGCACAGCTGTATATTAAACAGAAAATTGGGCTAGAGTGACCTAACAAATGGAAGCTAAATGAGTGGTAGAATGTCTTCAATTCAAGTCTATTTGTAATATCCTTTTCACAATACATACTTGTTTCATTGTTATATTAGGAAATGTTCGGTTATCAGATTGTCATATTAATGTCCATATGGTAGTAATATACAACTATGGTGTGTATTCAGTTAAGCAGACACAACTAGCATGCTAAGCAGAAAGCATAACTAATGTATAAAGTGTAAATTACAGAACGTCTTGTCATGTTTATAGAGCAACTTAGATTAGCACTGAAAACATGGCACCTGGTTACTACTCCTGTTCGTACTATTAATGTTGAAATGTGTTGTACTCAGATTGATTCTACCATTCTGGCTTTTTGTTCTGCAGGTTCTAGACACTGAAATGCCAGAGGGTGAAGGTGAGGTGGTAATGGTTGGCATTGGCACTGCAGATCTAGATGAGGAAGATGCTGTGTGTTATACTGAGCTTAAGGCATCCACCACTCTCCTGGTGCCTGTAGAGCTGGCTGAGGAACAGCAAACACATCTTCTAGAGGGAGGCACTGTAGAGACCCTCAGCAGTGCACCAGATGGTACGCAGCCAGAAGAATCGGACGGCTTCACGCTAATGCTTGATCCAGATGTGGAGGAACTGCCTGACGCTTCAGAGTTGGACCACAATGCAGTATTGCTACCTCTGCATGACCCAGAAGAGCCCCAGGATGTGAATAATCAGCTTACAGCAAACTCTGAGGTTTTCATCTTGGATCATACTGTTCAAGTCCCAGACAACAAATTGGAAGAAGTAAAAGACTTGGTATCAGACATTGAACCTGTTGTCACTGGCCTCAATAAAATTGAAGAGCAACCAGGTGAGGTTCTCCAGACAGTGGAACAAATAATCACACCACAAGAAGATACTTCTCAAGAAACAAAAGGTCTTTCCAATGGTGAAAGTCCAGAATTGGCTCCTCCTGAGGTACAGGAAGAATCGCATATCCCTCTTCATGGGGAAGTATTGGAGTCTTCTGCGCCAGAGAATGTGTTGCCTTCAGAAGAGCATTTAGGTAGGGTCAATGAAGTTTCTGCATTGGACACTGAGGTGTCAAACATTACGGAAGACAATATAACTGAACCCATCCAAATAGACACTACACCCTTATTGGCTGGGGAACTTGAGGAACTTTCCACGACGAAACAATTGGCAAGGCCAAAGTCACCAGGAAGGCCAAAGTCACCTGCAAGAACAAAAGTCGAAAGATCTGGAAAAGATACAGAGGAAATTTTGGAGAACGCTAAAGATTTTCCACGCAGCCCATCACGGAGGACAAGGAAAACTGTGACATTCCCTGTACCCAATCCTGATGTAGAGAAAAGTCTAACTGAAGAAGAACAAATGGATTCTCGAGTACCTTCTACACCAAAACGTGTTACAAGGAGTGGCAAGCAGCTGCTAGACTGTCAAGTTCCTGTTACACCCAGAAGAAGCACAAGAAAAGCAGATGCAGAACAGCGTTCTAATGAGAATGACCAAGACATGCCTCCTGAGAAAGTATCAAAGCCTGCAAGTCCAGCACGAAAGACCCCACAGAAAGCTACACCTAGGAAAGGATCCCGAACAACCAGGAGCACAGTGGTTGATGATGAAGAGGCCATATCCACTGACCCCGTTCCCAGTGATGACTCTGAAACACAAGCCAGACGGAGTACCAGAAAACTCAGAGCACCAATTGTTGAAGTTCCAGAAACTAATCAAGAAGTCCCAGAGGAGATGGGAGAGCCTGCCAAAGCACAAAGTAGTCCTAGTAGGTTCACTCGCAAGTCGACCCGAGGTCTAGCAATAGAACAGTTGCAACAGGACCCCGCAGAAGATGCTACAAATAAAAATCAACCTTTTAAAACTCCTCCAAGAAGCAGGAGGAAGACCGTGGCCAGCACTGCCGAGAAAGCAAACAATGCAACCTTTGTTATCGATGATGCACAACTTCAGAGTGTTTCTAGGCGCCTTACGAGAAGCCAGCACTGGAATCAAGGAGAGGACCTTGGCAAAGAAATGATTCCCCTGGAAGTAGAAACAAAAACTCTTCAGGCTGATGCTCTTGTAGAGCGACTCAAAAATGAGGAAGCCAGCGAAGAGATTGTTCCAGTTGTAACTGAAATTATACATGCTAAGAGAAAAACCACTAGATCTGCAGCACTAAATAAAACTCAAAATGCAGACATTGAAGAATCTAAATTGGTGGTGTCTGACGAAATACAGGAACATGCAAGCAAGTCACTTGGAAGTGCTAGACGTACACGAGCGAGCAAGGTTTCTGAACAAAACTCTATGGATTTCGGCGATTCAGTTACTCCTATAGCTGACCTGAAAATAACAAGAGGTAGTCCATATTGTAATGCCTCTCTTTGCAGTAAGTTAGAACACTATAATGTGCCTGCGATTAAATTTATCTGCAATCCTTTCTTTATAGCAAGGAGAAAAGGATCTTCTCTACGAAATGTTGAAGTTTCAGAAATGTTGTCTCCTGTACCCCAAACCAAGACCTCAGGAGATGAAACTGATTCTCCATCCAAAGAGGTATGCAGTGGCCTCTAAAGTTTGAGTACCAAAGCAATTGTTTAAATTTTGCTGGATCATGCTTTAAATTTCATGTCCTTTGTTGTAGGACAATGGCCCTGTAGATGATGTTGCAGTTGAAACTGAGGTTGTCAAGCCCAGAAAGAAGAGGACAACCAGGTGAATTGTCCATATTGCATGTAGTTCTATTGCTATTGTGATGTTTACATGCACAGTATAATCAAGGTTTTTAAGTCAAGCTACAATCTTAATCTCCCTGTCAGAGTATAAATGAGAAAAACTAGAAGATGTGCTGTTGGACAATTGATAGACTACCTTTCTTGTTTGTTGCGCAATTGTAGTCTGATTCACTTAGGAAAACCGGTCTGCAATCACATTATCCAAATCTGTTAGTCCAACTTTTCCAATATCAATTGCAATTTCAGACAAAAGAGTTTACATGAACTGAACTTTTAAAGTGCATGTGAACGTTCTAACTGATCCTAGATTACCATACCCTAATTAATTCCTGTTTTCTTTTAACAGAACAAAAGCTGCCCCAGAACCTCCACCTCCGGTTGAGATCAGTTTTCTTTCTCCCCTCGCTAGTCCCGCCAAATCTATAACTAGAACTGAAGAGAAGGAAACCCCTTCGCTGAGGATGAACCTACGCCGAAAACGCATGATGGATGCCATATTTCCTAAACCCGTAACGAGGAGGAAGAAGCTTTGATTGTGGACTCTTTGACTGGACTCATTTCCCAATGCACTTCATGTGCATTTTTGTTTTGTGCTCTCCTTGTTTCCTAAGAGCTCTGCAACCTGCTGTTTTTCAATCAATGGATAATGTTTGGAATAAATAAACAATGTTTGGGGTAAATAATTTTGTATGATAAATTATGCCATTTACAGTAAGGGGCGCTGAGGGACTTGAGCACCAAAAAAGAGATGGTTTAGTTTTTAAATGTTTCTACTAATTGATGCAAATGTAAATAGCCTTTTAGGTATGTTATAAATAAAATTTGATACTTGTGAATTTTGTTGCTTGTTTTGTTTACAGGAAAGATTGTGGAACATGTAAAGTCAGAGCGAACAATTCTAAAATGTATGGTTGTACCACTTGGGTGATAATTCATAAAGATGAATACTTTACATTGGTTGAAAGTGTTATAAAATCATCCATATTACATGGGTGGACTTCTTGCTTTAATGCTTGGCACATGGTCTCCTCTATCTTGAGGTCTTTAACTGGTGAACAGAGTTATTTGTTCATTGCAGACAATAATGTACATTTATTTTCCTTCAAATACATGCATTTTATTTTGAACAACATTGTGAACTTATTTGTAATGCCTGTTTGGTTTCAAATACAGAACAAGAATTTACAATCTTGATGTATTGTAGTTCTTTAGAGGTACTGATTCAACCATTTTACTGGTTCCCTGCAAATAGTAAAAGACCTTAATGACTTGTAACCAAGACGCAATGTACTGTAGGTATAGTGGTTTTATAATAGCACTGCTTGTAGGATATTGATTGTAGTTGAGTGTGTTTCAATGAGGTTACTAAGGTTATAAAAGTCATTTTAGTGTGTTTTGGGTTGCTCTTTCTTGGCCCAAGTCAACCCTGAGTTCAAGTAATACAAGAAATGGCTAGCAATCACCATTTATAACCAAAAAACTCTTAATCGAAGTAGCTAGTGTCCTGAATGAGACATGGTTAAAGAGCCCTTCATTCGGTTTACTTCCATGTTTAGAACTTGGGCACTGTTGAAGTGATCTTTTACAGAAACTAAGGGTACTGTATTATTCATCTTGCTGGGCCCTGGTAGAAAGTGAGCGTAACAAAGTGCTCAGGTTTCATCCTGTTGCTCTGACACTCATTCAGTGTTTTCTGTGTCTGAAGTATCCACGTGAGCATGAGGGTGAGGGGAATCGAAATGGCCAGCAAGGACTGTGTGAAAGTGGCAGTCAGAGTCAGGCCTTTCAATAAGGTTAGTACAGCCAGTACTAAGGTGTGCATGAATGGATTTTAAGGTTAAGGTTGAATGCAATTTGTCAAGTTTAACAGGTTGACTTTTTGAGATGGAAGAAAAGCTCTAAGACTTTGAAGCCTTTCAAAATTGAAACTTTCTTGGTTATACAGAGAGAGCGGGATGCAGGCAGTCGCTGTGTGATCTCAATGACTTCGAACAATATCAGTATTCAGGACCCTCGCAACCCGCAGAACAGCCGCACCTTCACTTTCGACTACACTTACTGGTCCCATAGTGGCTTCATTAGAAACAAAGATGGTCTGTTTGTACCTGAGGAGGCAGGTGGGCGCTATGCAGACCAGGTAAGATCAGGTTTTATAGATGTTATCTCACCTTGTAAAAGAGGATGGATCTTTGGGCATGTTTACAGTGATGAAATGTGTGCTTAACTGGTAACAGATGAACTAACAAAGTTTCTATTTGATTCAATCCCTCTGTCCCCTGTGGTCAGACAAGTGTGTTTCTGGATTTGGGGCAAGGTATTTTGGATAATGCACTGCAGGGCTACAATGCCACATTGCTGGCATATGGGCAGACTGGCTCTGGGAAGAGTTACTCCATGATTGGTTATGGTTCTAACAAAGGCCTCATACCCACCCTCTGCGAGAGACTATTTCAGTCTATCAGGAGCACACAAGACAGCAGGCAGTGTCAGGTATGTCAGTCAGTCATATTCAAGGTAATTCATTTTGAGTGATGCTATAATGCAATGCTTTGTTAAAGTTTGGTGTTAGTTTCTATGTGGTTTGATGAAATTTAGAAATGTTTAATACGGAGTTGGCCCACCCTTTGCAGCTATCTCAGCTTCAACTCTTCTGGGAAGGCTTTCCACTAGGGTTAGAAGTGTGATGTTAATGGGAATTTTTGACCATTCTTCTAGAAGCGCATTTGTGAGGTCAGGTACTGATGTTGGACGAGAAGGCCTGGCTCGCAGTCTCCGCTTTAATTTATCCCAAAGGTGTTCTATCGGGTTGAGGTCAGGACTCTGTGCAGGCCAGTCAAGTTCCCCCACACCAAACTCGCTTATCCATATCTTAATGGACTTTGCTTTGTGCGCTGGTGCGCAGTCATGTTGGAACAGGAAGGGGCCATACCCAAACTGTTCCCACAAAGTTGGGATCATGAAATTGTCCAAAATGTCTTGTAATGCTGAACCTTTCAGAGTTCCTTTCACCGGAACTAAGGGGCCAAGCCCAACCCTTGAAAAACAACCCCACACCATAATCCCCCCTCCACCAAACTTTACACTTGACAAAATGCAGTCAGGCAAGTACCGTTCTCCTTGTCCATCAGATCTAGAGTTATAGAGTCCAGTGGCGACGTGCTCTCATGACTGAGTTGTAATTTTTCCCAATTGCTTTCACTTTGTTTTAATACCACTAACCATGGAATATTTAGTTGTCAAGAAATTTCACGAATGGACTTATTGCACAGGTGGCAACTTAAAGCACAGGTGGAGGGGTGTCCCAATACTTTTGGCAATATAGTGTAGCTTTTTAGGAAAGAAAAAACAAAACAAAATGGCTGACATTTTTTGGGTATTGTTCGACTGTATGCTACACCGAATCTTGGCAAAACTGTTCAGAAGTAATAAGCAAATATAAGCCATTTTTCATATATCCTTACCACTAGGTGGCACTGCACCAAAACTGCAGGTTTTGTGACTCTCATGTCAGGGTGTCATAACACAAGCAAAGTTTGGTCTGAGTACTGTTAAGCGTTTTGGGGAAATAGCCTCATCACTTTGGCGTGTTTTTTTGTAGAATTTTGTTATTTTAGAACAGTTTGAGTAATTAACTTGCAGCCCATGTTTTTTTGTCGGCATTGGTCTGAAAATGATCTGGTTTGATTATCATGAAAGTCGGACAAACTTTAAAGTTCGTAGGACAAGTTCAGAAAAGTTTTTTTTTTTTTTTTCCGAAAAAATGTAAATGCCGGAAAGTTTTTTGTGACAGAAAATTATATCATAGGGTGACATCATAGAGCATAAATGTTAGTGCAAATTTGGACAGTTGGCGGTGTTGGAGAGATTCCTTTGTTAATGTTCAGATTGTCCTCTATCTGTGCCAAATTTCACAACTTTTTACCATATGGTTTTATGGGCTGCCATAGACTGTAATACATACATAAATACCATTACTTTTTACCTTAAAAATGCTTTTTTTACAGGTATTTTTCAGCATGCTGGAAATCTACAATGAACAAGTAAGAGTTCACCCTTATCTGAAATAAACTAATTCATGTTTAACAGTTCTAACTATGGTCCAGTCCACAATTTATTTGTAGTAAGTGTATTTTGGATGAACCCATCTGCTAAATGATGACTTGCTGATGTTTATAGTGATGTTTTACATGACTTGAGTGGCACTTCAAACTTTGCTCAGGTTGTAGACCTGCTCTCAAAGATCAGCCGATCTGCGGGTGGTCTGCGGGTGAGAGAGGACCAACAGAGGGGTTTCTACGTGGAGGGGCTAAAGCGGGTGCCCTGCGACAGTGCAGTACAGGTGGAGCAGCTGATGGAGCAGGGAACACGCACGCGCACCACTGCAGCCACACACATGAACGCCAACAGCAGTCGCTCGCACATGCTCATCATCGTCCAGCTCAAACAGGTGTCCTTTACTCTTGGCATTAACATGCGTTCACCCAATCAGAACATAGCATGTTTACATTCATCCACATTAAGTATCTGTCTTTTCAATATATTTGTGGACAAAATTCAGATATAGGATGAATTTTAATGAGAGTAAACAGGGCTTCATGTTCGAGATGGTCTGCAGTGTTTTTTTCTCACAGATTCTTTACTTGTATGCTCACTGTGTTTGTAGATCTTCTCAAAGGAGTGCATCACCAAACAGTCCAACATTTACCTAGTGGACTTGGCTGGTAGTGAGAGACAAAGGTCATCAGGGTCAGAGGCCGACAGGCTTAAAGAGGGCACTGCGATCAATCTCAGTTTAACCACACTTGGAAATGTCATCAGGTCAGCAGTTACATACTAAAGAACTGGTTTCTTGAACATGACAATGAGTTCGCTAAACTCAAATGGCCTCCACAGTCACCAGATCTCAACCCAATAGAGCATTTTTGGGATCTGGTGGAAAGGGAGATTCACATCACGGATGCTATCATGCCAATATGGACCAATATGTCATGCCCACCCCACATATTTATTTTATTAGTGATTTGCTGTATAAGAAGTGGGGTCTGCGTTAATTTTGCTAATAACTTTTAAGTGTGTGGCCTATGTGTACAGAATACATTTTGTTGCCACTGTCGTTTGATTAGTGTTCATTGTTAAAGTTAACTGTAATCAATTTGTTTTGTATTTATCGATCTATAAAGTGCTCTAGCAGACACGGCTCTTGGGAAGAAAGTAGTTCACATCCCTTATAGAGACTCTGTCCTCACCAAATTACTGCAGTCTGCTCTTGGTGGTAACAGTCGAACCGTCATGGTAAGTGACTTTGCCCATAGTTTCCTCATTTAATGGTTGAGGCAAACTTGACTTGAACAATGTCGTTATGATGTTTTAAAGAATTTGCATTGATGTGTTTCTTGTCCTCGTTCACAGATTGCAACCTTAAGTCCTGCAGATATTTGCTATGAAGAGTCTCTTTCTACTCTTCGATATGCAGAGAGGTGGGTTCTTAAATAAAAAATGACATACATTTAGTCATTCCTGTACTGGTTTACTTAAAGGGATACTCCACTTTTTTTTTTAAATAGGCTGATTTTACAACTCCCTCAGAGTTAAACAGTCGAGTTGTACCATTTTTGAATCCATTCAGCCAATTTTCTGATATTTAGAAGAATATCAGTAACCAGACAGTTTCTGGTCTCATTGACTTTCATAGTAGGAATACTATGGAAGTCAATGAGACCAGAAACTGTCTGGTTACTGATATTCTTCTAAATATCAGAAAATCGTCTGAATGGATTCGAAAACATTAAAACTCAACTGTTTAACTTTGGGGGAGTGGTAAAATGAGCCTATTTCCAAAAAAGTGGATTATCCCTTTAAATGGCCTGCTGAAATATAGACAGTCAGAATTAACACACTATTTCCAGTTAGTTTTGCGTCAGCCTTGTATATGTAGTATATTCCAATGGACACATTGTGGAATGTCCCTCTTTTTAGGGCCAAGCGGATCCAGAATAAAGCCGTGGTGAATGAGAGTCCCACAGAACGACTGGTGAAGGAACTGAAGGCAGAAAATGCAAAACTACTTATGAGACTAAGCCGACTGGGCCAAGACGGCCGTAAAGCTGATGATGAGACGAGTATGTAAGGTGGTAGAAATACAAGGACATTTGAAATGCGAGTACATTACATCTAATTAAAAGTGTTGTTTGTTGTAGAGGAGCTGCGGCGATTGTTGACTCATAATGAACTGCAGATTCGGGCCATTCAGACATTGTGGGAACAGCATCTCCAAGAGGCCTTAAAAGACTGGGAGACTCAGTATGCAACTATAACACAGGTACACAAAGATGCACTTTTACATGGATGTTAACCACTTATGAGTTTCTCACAGCAATGCCTGGCAACATAAATACTGAATTCACTATCGCTTTGAATAGGCTACATATTCAAAATGCATAAATGTAAGTGTCCTACAAAATCACTTCCTCCATAGAAAATACACAATAAATATTGATTTATGTCTAAAGTTGGTCTCTAAAATCAGTAATGGTACATGATTTCAGAGAATTCACAGTTTAAGCAAAATATAAGTACAAACTTGTATTGTTTTGTCAGGGGCTAATTAATTCACCACTGAAATATTGACTGTAGTAGATATGCATTTCATTCTGAGACACCTAAATTTTTTAGGTACAATATAAGTGTCACTTAAATGCAGTACATCAGTTGATATTGTAATGCGCTGGAGAAAACAGGCGAAAGGAACAGAAACACGAGGATGAGAGAACCAGAAGCAACCATTACATGAACAACAACTGATAAAGTAACAAGCGAAACACAAGAGGTATATATATATACAGTATATACATACACAGGGGCAAACAAGCTTAACAAGGTAATGAGAAAACAAGATACACCTGGGGAGACTAATCAACATGAAAAACTACAAAGGACTACAAAACATGGCGCAAAACAGGAAATAACATAAAAGTCCACAGAAAACAAGGGGAACACAAGACAGGAATCCTGACAGATATGCAGTCGCTAGCCTGCTGGAATAAGTAAATAATGAGCTTTAGATTCTTTTATCCAGAATGACTTATTTTTTTTTATTATTTACAGAATTTTAGAATTTATTACTAGTTTTAAATGGTTTGTATTTTAATTTGTTTTTCTATTTCTATTTAGTTTCTATTTCGCTTTGATTTACATTTGTTTATTTCGACTTTCAGATAGTTGCCATGGCATCATTTCTAATTTTCGTTTAAGTTTTGTACATTTTTTATTCTTATATTCAGAAGTGGCACTTAGATGTATTTACTGTTTAAAGCAGCTCAGAGATGACATGAATGCATTTACACTGCAATTGAATAAATAATGTTATAAGATTCATTTTTTTAATTATAAAATATACTGACTATAGGAACATGAAAAAATAAATTAAACTTGAAATTAAAACTAGAAACTAAAACCAGCCTTTGGTTGGAGGCAGTGGTGGAGGAAGTACTGAATCTCAGTACTTAAGTAAAAGTACAAATAACCAGATAAATATTTACTTTAGTAAAAGTAGAAGTAACACAATGACAACCATACTTAAGTAAAAAGTAAAAAGTACTTTATTTTAAATGTACTTTAAGTATTAAAAGTAAAAGTACTTGCATAACAATTTATTCTCTTAATGTCTATTTTCTAATGATTAATAAAACATTTAATTCTAACTCATTCAACCTAATAGCCTACTCCTATAATGATGTTCAATAATGATGGAAAAAAATGTCACCATTTCTGAAACAAGCTTGCAATTAGGCAATACACATCATCCTTACTATATGTTAATAACTAAAATGTTTGGCAGTAAACGAGATGAATTTATGGTGTAATTCTGAACCTCTTGGCTTGCCATAATCCTAACCTTACACACGGTGTGTTTCCTATGCACGTAAAAAAAATTTTCGCGTATGAGTTGCACGATAAACACACTGCGTGTGAGACACATTTAGTGTGACCGGGTTGATATACTGTATCTATGGTAACCAAACGCCACTGGTGAGACAAACGTGCAACGAACGGACGGTCAGATTACGTTTTGGCAGGGGAAAAACTGATCAGAAAATGTAACGAAAATGTAACAGAAGTTTTAGAAATGTAGTGGAGTAGAAAGTAAAATAATTGCTGCAAAATGTAACGAAGTAAAAGTAAAAAGTAGGCACTATTTATTGTACTTAAGTAAAGTAAAGATACGTGAAAAATGTACTTAAGTAAAGTAACGAAGTATTTGTACTTCGTTACATTCCACCACTGGTTGGCGGCAAGTCAATGTCTTAACATGTGCATCATTGATTCTTTCATTAAACTAATTCATTCAAAACGGCATTTTTTTCCATTCATTTTCTAAACGAAGCAAGTGACTGTCTTTATGATTGGGTCATTGAATCATTGACTAACCCAATTCATTCGAAAATGCATAATCATTAAGGAACTAATATTCTAATATTTATATTTTATTTCATTTCAGCATTATTTGAGTTAACAACAATTTTGAATAGTTTTAGTTCAAAATAACACCACTGTGATGGACAATTCTCCCCTAGCAATCACAAATCCTTTCCCTCATTTAAACACCAATCTCTCAAAAAATCTCTTCCCGTTTTAGGAACGAAGGATGATGCAGATGCATCCGTACATAATGAACATCAATGAGGATGCCCAGCTTTCTGGTGTGGTGAAGCTATTCATACAGGAAGGTGAGTTTGTCTTACAATAGTGACATCAGACCAGTTATATCATATCCATATATTAACTAAATGCAATTTGTAATTTATATCTTTCTATGAGAAGGTGAATGGGATATTGGTCTGGCAGACAACTCGCCCAGAGTGATCTCTATTAGGGGTCTAGGGTAAGTCAAGCATGGGAAACATGAATAGATTGCGTCCCAATATGAAATGCACCCAATAATAAACATTTGATAAAAAATGTGAAATTGAATTTCCTGATTTCAGCATTCAGGAGAAACATGCTGTGTTCTCAAACCATCAAAAGAAAGTTTTAATTACTCCTGTGTCCGGGTCAAAGGTCATTGTCAATGGAGTGCCGGTATCTAAAAGGATAGAGCTGCAGCATTTGGTGTGTTTAATTATCTGTATCTGTATTATTTTCTATATGTACTTTAATCATAAAGACATTGCTCAAAAATGAATCGGAACGGTGATCTGTGTGAATTACCAAGTTGAGTTTTGGCTTATTAACCTACCTTTGTTCTGTACTGATGAAGGATCGACTTGTCCTGGGCTCGAACAGCACTTACCTGTTCATTGGCTTCCCATCGGAGCGCTCAGGAGAGGACTGGAGTCGCTATGACTATGATTACTTCCAGTCTGAGCTGGCAGAGGCCGAGGGCTTCCACATTCACTCTCTGTGTGAAGATCAGGGCCATCGTATGTGTGGGGTTTGGATTTAAATCGATTGAAATGTCTTGGTTTTAAATTAGATATCTTTAGGTTTGGTTTAATTTAGATGCATCCATATACTGTACTAGGGGGCTGTTGAATATTTGAATCTTGAATATTTGAAACACATGATTAAAGTAGTTTACATTTTACATTACATTTAGCTGACGCTTTTATCCAAAGCGACTTACAATTGCTATATATAGAGGTCACACGTCTCTGGAGCAACTAGGGGTTAAGTGTCTTGCTCAAGGACACATTGGTGTCTCGCAGTGGATTCGAACCCAGGTCTCTCACACCAAAGGCATGTGTCTTATCCACTGCGCCATCACCACCCCCAGTTCCAGCCAGGTCCATATCACGTCGCCAAATAATTTCAGTTATTTCATAGGTTCTTACAGACTAAAACAGAAAAAGAACTAAAACCCACGTTCTCGAACAAGCAAATAAATATAGTAAACGATAGGATAGAAAAATCTAATTATTTCCATATTTTTTTGCCACAAAATCACGTTTTATTTGGTACTGTAAGCACATACCCTCTTTCTCCTGCTCTCGCTCTCCACTCAAATGCACACACACATACAGTACGGACACGCATAGAAACATGTTGTCGGCGCTGCCCTGATGAATTTATCAGTAAAATAGTTTAGCAACTTAAAGGAGTAGTTCACTTTTAAAAAAAACTTTTGCTGATAATTTTCTCACCCCCATGTCATCCAAGATGTCCACGTCTTTCTTTCTTCAGTCGAAAAGAAATTAAGGTTTTTTCAATGGTAACCTATCGGTTCAAGGTCCAAATGTGAGTTTCAGGGCAGTTTCAAAGGGCTCTAAACGATTCCAGACGATGAATTAAGGGTCTTATAGGACCCTTCAAGTCATGACTCAAAAAAAATTTGTTCATTTTGATGAACGAGTTTGAACAGGAGAGTCACAAACGTTCATCACAGAACAAAGCAAGGTGAGCATTTGAGCTTATAAAACTTAAATGTTTTTATTTATTTTTTAAGTGAGCGATTGTTTCGCTAGATAAGATCCTTATTGATCGTCTGGTGTCGTTTAAAGTCCTTTGAAGCTGCACTGAAACTCTCATTTGGACCTTGAACCGTTTGGTTCCCATTGAAGTCCATTATATGGAGAAAATCCTGGAATGTTTTCATCAAAAACCTTAATTTCTTTTCGACTGAAGAAAGAAAGACCTGGACATCTTGGATGACATGTGGGTGAGTAAATTATAAGTTTTTTTTTTAAAAGTGAACTACTCCTTTAAAAGCTACTTGACATTTCTCTATAGCGAGGTTATTAACGGAGCTGTTTTTGAAGCAGATAAACTTACATTTTCGCTATTAGTCTCTCTCTCTCTCTCTCTCTCTCTCTCTCTCTCTCTCTCTCTCAAACTGCATTAATAACTACATTAGTGTACTAATGTTTTAAGCCACTATTAATTGCTCTAAAATGACATTGGAATTTGCAATTAGCAACGGAGACATGGAATGAGATGCGTTAGAAAGACTCTTCTCGTCGTGGCCACATTACCACCTCCGGTGTGCATTATTTAAAAAAAAAAAAATTCAAACAGCATGTCATCAAATATCAGATCATCATCAAATTTTAGTTTTATTTAACAAAAACATCACTTGCAGGGCCACACCAGCCTGACCCCAGTCTACTGCCTGTGTTCTATGACTATATAAAGCTGATGCCCATGGTGACAGAAGCTAATCAAATGAGTAAAGAGTTAAAGAAGGTGAGTACAGTTATTAAACTTGCAATCATGTAAAGTATATCCATTCATTTTTGACAAACAGTAGCTGGAAAATGCCTCTTAGTATGAAATGGAGTTCAAATATTCACTACAGTGAAGTTTAAAGGGATTTTTTTTTCATATTAAACTATGTTATTCCCTTAACTAAGACAAAGTTGATACATACATACCTCTCTCATCTCAGTGCGTGCACTCAATCGCTCTGGCGCGCAAGACACCTTGATAGCACTTAGCTTAGCCCAGTTAATTCAATATGGGCCAAGCAGAGAAGCGACCAAACACCTCCACGTTTTCCCTATTTTGGTCGTAGGTGTTTAGTCGCTTCTCTGCTTGGCCCATATTGAATGAACTGGGCAAGTTAAGTGCTATCAAAGAGTCTCGCACGCCAGAGCAATTAAGTGCACGCACTGAGACGACAGAGGTATGCATCAACTCATCTTAGCTAAGGGAATAACATTTAATATGAGAACCATAACAAAAACAACAACCAAAAAAAAAAAAAAACAATAGTCCTTTTATAAAATCGATTTGTGCCAGTCAAAATGCTACTTATTTTATCTCTCTGGTTCCTGATCCCTAACTTGGTTATTTTTACAATGGTGGAGTTAACTGAAAACACTTTTGTGATGTTGCATCCACAGTATATGTGCAAGCCTCTATAAGACTGTCATGACTGTAGCAAAAGGTAAAAATAATTCATTGCACCTTTACATCTTGATCTTTTCAGGGAGTTGAATTCAAATTGGAAATCAAGAATCTGGCAATGACAGACTCTAAGGGTCATGACCTGGAGAAGGACATTGCGGTGAGAGTGACGTCTATAGAGAGCAAACAGGTGAGAATTATGATTCTGTGGGAATTTAAATTAATTACGGATAAGAAGCCCCTTTGATTTTTGGAAATGCACAACACAGTGAAAAAAGTAGGCATCAAAATCTCTTACTGAGATATCTTACAGCCAAGCAGTGTTTAACACAGACGTCAGGTGATGTGGTTTTTCTAGATGGAATTAGTTGTTTTTGAAAACATGGACTGGTGTAATTGAATAAGAAACTAATGCGATTACAGAATCAGATGCAGAGCAGAATCACAAGGGCTTTGATGTTATTTTATCTCACAACATGCACAAAAATGTCCATGTCTCACTTGATATCAATTTAGCGCTGAAACTTTTAAAGTAACCATACTTTTTTTTATTGCCCTTGAGTTCACTTATAATACTACTCAATGTTATTTTTTTGCACCAAAGACAATTGTAGTTTAATTTAATTTTATATTAAATGATATATAAAATATAATTTAATATAAAATTAAATTATATTAAAACATGCATTTTTGTTTCTGCTGTGCCTTTAAGACTTTTATAAAGTTATGTTGGGTTGATTTAGCCAGATTAACCCATTTGTACCCTTTTAAAGATCATCACTATTTTATATTAGTGGTATATAATTAATAAATAAATTAAAATAGGTTTTAAGTTAATATTTAGTGATGTACATTTTAAACACAACATTGTCAGTATCAGACAGCAGAACCGTTGCCTCTCCGATCAACACAGAGATATTTTGTTCCTGGACATTTTTGAATGAATCGGGTGAGTCAATGATTCTATGGCCAAGACATAAAGACAGTCACTTGCTTCATTCCTGAATGGATTAGGTTTTTTTGAAAGAATCGATTGAATGGAAAAAAAAAGAAATGACTCGCACATTAAGAAAGCGACTATACACCACCTGTGGGAGATTTTATTTTCATAAAGTATAATTTCATTTACAGTATTGAATGTTTTATATTTATTACATTGTCTATTTAAAACATTAATCTCATAATGTTATACGTGAAATTGTTACTGCAGTGTAAATGCATTCATGGCATCTCTAAGTGCATTAAAGGCACTATATGTAAGATTTTTTAGATTAAACTATCCAAAAACCACTAGAACAATGTTATATGGTACGTACATTATCCCAAATGTTTCTAAGGATCTTTAAATCCAGAGAAATAAGCAGTTTTAACCAGGACACGGGTAGTGTCTGTGCGTCGACTATCAATGACAACATAACGACGTTACCCTCGATTTCATCAATTTGCCTTTAAACAGGCGATGTAAATGGATGAAGCATCTGAGCCACATCTGGATTTTGTTGATGCTGATTTCAATTGGTGACAGTCTTATAATGTCTTTTTATTCTGATTGCATTCATTTTAAAGCACAAAATACCCCACAGATATTTTTATATAGTATGTTAAAGTTGTCACTTTTTGAGGGTTTGCAAAAACACACGGTTTTGTGCCTGGCCCTTTAAATGCAAATGAGCTGCTGCAGAGGGCGGGGTTTCAAGAGCTCACTTGTGTTAACTGCTGCAATTTCCTCACGCAGACACACTAAAATGACACAAACTGTTCTCCCTTTAATGTTAAAATGGAGTCAGTCAAAGATGGAGAGACTCAAGAAGAAGTGACAACATGTAAAATACAACAGGACGTCTCTCTGAATGGTTAGTTGATGAATTTATGCTGATGTGGAGTTAACTATCTTCAATTTGGATATTCTGTCATGATAATCTATAGGCTAAATCAATCATATAGGAACTGTTGTGAGATGCACACAGAGTTTCTATTGCATGTGAAATGAAGGATGCTAAAGTTTGAGCTGACTCACAAATGTACTCTCATACAACCACTCTTCCTCTTCTCAACATGGACTGAGTGTTCCCGGGGGCGGGGTTTATGCACATTTAGGGTTGGTGATGTCACTAACCTGGGAGGAATGTCCCGTTTGTTGTAGTCCTTTTCTTTAAAAGCAAATATCTTCCTTTGTTTGGAACTTTGAGCGTTGTAGCTTTGATAATGTTGTTCATGCTCAAACTGCAACATTACACACAAACTAAAGTTAGAAAAGTGAATTCATACTTACCACCCCTTTAAGATGGAAAGAATGGCATACATTTAAAAAGGTTAGAAAAGTTGTCCTTATAAAGGTAAAAAGTCCCCTGGAAATCAATGTCTTCTAAAGGTGTGGATGTGGTCCAAAGCCAAATTTGTCAACCGTAAGTTTCTGATGGAAGAGGCGTACCAGCAGCAGGTGGGTGGAGGAGAGGGGGCAGACCGAGCTCCTCTTCCCAGGGAAAGAGATCCGTTCTGGGATCCTCTGGAGCCCCTGCACCTGGGCAGTGCTCACCTGTGGCTGCAGTCGCTGGCGTTCCGCATCCCTCTGGAGGAGCAGGTGGAAGTGGTGGGTCCCGAAGGAACGGAGGAGGCCATACTGCAGACACAGCTTGTGCCCTGCAGCCCCATGGGATTGTGGGTAACATTTCTACATGTAAAATGAAAATGTTGATTAAACGAGTGAAATATTGGTAGTGCTATGATATTTGTCATTCGTAGGCCCCTGGGTGAAGATGACATCCTTATTGACCCGTCAGAGCTGCTTGGGAAGCGGCTGGACTTTCAGCTGGTTTTGGATCAGTGCTGTGGCCTACGCTGGGTTAAAGAGGCTCGCAACAGAGGCGTGCAGATTGGGTAAGTTATTTATATAGTGCTTTATACAATACAGCTTCACAATGATAACAGGAATATAACGATTCAGTGATGCAAATGGAACTCAATTCTGCTGTAAAGTAACTTCAAAAGGACAATAGTAAACAGTCATTATTTAGTTGAAATCAGTTCAGTGTTGATTCATTTCGGTTCAATATCTGTGTAAAGTACATCAATTAGGAAATTAGTTCAATTCAGCTAAAAAGCAGCTGATGTCATCATAGGATGGGTAGTAGTGTAGGATGTAATCTTATGGATTTTATGAAAGCTTTTTTTTTGTTTTATATTAGTAATAATACTTGTTCATGTCAAAAGTTCCATAATTCTCTTAAGGTGTGGATTATCAACCAAGATTTTCTTTACCAAAATTAATCACCAAACTATTTTTGACCTTTGTACACTAATCACAATAATGAACACTGCAGTTTATGACATGTTTGAATTTATTTAGTTATTTATTTACTCTTAGTTTATTAATATGTTGCTTTTATTTGTATACATTAAAGTTTTTATTAAAATTTGTTTAATTTTAGTAATTTTGTTGTCAGATTGTCTCATTTTTATTAGTCTTTTTGTTGTTTTCTAAATATCTTTATTATTTTAGTTAGTAATTTAAGCTTATTTAATATATACTGTATATATATATATATATATATATATTACAGTATATATGTTTAGTTTGTTTTTCCATCTAAAATTTATAGTTTATTTTAGCTTTATTTTAGTTTTAGGTAATAATAATGCCATATCTGATGATTTGCATTCCTGTTGAGATTTGAAATTAAATTTGATTTGTGCTAAAGAAAGACCTGAACTCTGCTTGACAGGTTTCGGGTGTTTGACTGCCCGCAGCCCCTCTACACTCCAGCGATATGGCACAATGTGAACCCGCTGATGGACCACAGAGTCCAGTTCACTGCTTTGAGAACCTCTCAGGAACTGTTGAACTACCTGCAGAGCAATGCCCTGGTACTGCAGCTGTGGGGTCTGCAGGGTAAGAGCCTCATATTATACAAGTAATATTACACTCAACCACAACCATTCAAGAGTTTGGGGTTGGTGAGGTTTATTTAATGTTTTTGAAATAAGTCTGTTATTATTATCTCTCCAAAAATACAATTAAAGTAATTTTGTGAAATATTATCATTTTTAATAACTTTTTTTTTATTTTAATATATTTTAAAATGTAATTTATTCTTGTGATGGCATCATTTCTCTAGTCTTCAGTGTCACATGATCACTTAGAAATCATTCGTTTACATTTATTCATTTAGCTGACACTTTTATCCAAAGAACCTTACAATTGCTATAGATGTCATAGGTCGTACACCTCTGGAGCAACTAGGGGTTAAGTGTCTTGCTCAGGGACACATTGGTGTCTCGCAGTGGATTTGAACCCGGGTCCCTCACACCAAAGGTATGTGTCTTATCCACTGTGCCATCACCACCCCCAGTTTTGTTTAGTTTGGTGCTAAAAATTTTTTTCTTATTTGTGCTTCTTCATTACTTAATGAGTTTTCGTTTCTTTTAAAGCAAAATCTTACTGACCCCAAACTTCCGACCATTGACGGAATTTTCTGGCTTTCCATGTTTTCTCTGTTATACGGTAGGGGGCGCTATTACTCGTCTTCTGAAAGAGTAGTCTCCTGATCAAAACACTAGCAAGGAAGATGCAGAAACAAGTGACATCATATGTAATCATATGCAAAAATGAATGAATAAATGTAAAAATAAAATGAATAAACATGATCATCAAGATGAAATCATATAATCCAAACTGCCTAATATTGCTGAATGATTATTTAATATTATAAATATTGCTGTTTTTTTTATTAAACTTACCCACATTCAAGTGTTCCTAAAAAAGAATACATAAATGAAGGTAATTTATATATAATACTGTATACATATAAAAGTGAAACTGATCAAAAATGCTTGTGTTGGCTGGCAATGTTTTTTAAAAGAGTTAAAATTGACAAAGTCATTTGATAAGTGAAAACACAAAGACACTGTAGAAACTGGAACAAGAATCAAACCAAACCATTTGCCTTTGAGGCATTCTTGAACTTCTCCAATAAACATGTTTCTGTTTGTAGAAGGATGCTCTGAGTTAGTCTCCTGTATGGATGGGGTGAAGATGACTCAAGAGGACATCATCATTATTGACAAGATCAGTGCATCAGAACACCAGGTATATTCCTTAAACAAACTGACCATGTGTATGTTTCAAATAAATGTGCATTGTTTAAATGTTTTGCATGAGCCAGGCCAGGTTTATTTCTGGGATTCTCTGAAACTGAATTATTTTATGATATGTGTATTCACGTTTGTTTAGACTGCAGAAACCAGAGGCTCTGACCTCAGCTCATCTCTCCGAGCCCTTCATCAAGATATGGAACAGCTGAGAAATGTAAATGCAGCACTAAGGAAAGAAAACAGCTGTCTGAGAGAGCAACTCAACTCAGCCAGAAATGGTGAGTACTTTGATAAGTCATCTAATACATTACGCTGTAAAGATATTGTAGTATCTTGGTCAGGGTGTAACACAAATTGGGGGCTCGTCCGGGATCTGAACCCAATACCTCTTGCAATTATCCTATTATCCTGTCTGAGAGAGCAACTCAACTTAGCCAGAAATGGTGAATACTTTTGATAAGTCATCTAGTACATTATGCTGTCAAGGCATTGTAGAATCTTGGTCAGGGTGTGACACAAATTGGGGGCTCGTCCGGGATCTGAACCCAATACCTCTTGCAATTATCCTATATTATTACAAGGCTCTGTGGAATAGTTGATTCTGAGTGGTCAATCTCGCCATCCAGCGGTTTGTTATTCCCATATAACAACCGCTAAAAAAACGATAACACAGGCTCATTCGGGCTACTGAAGTCAGCAGCGCTATACTCTTGCTAGGAACGTTTTTTCTAAGTGGAATTTTGCATTTGGTGAGCTAATAAAATATTAAAACTCAGTCAAATCAATATTTTGTGTAGTTATTTAATTATGCCATCCAGTATCGTGGACTCGCTCTCTCTTGTTTCATTCAAACGTGATGAGGTTTGAATAAACCCCTGTCGGTGGGTTTATTCTGAGATGATAACCGGCTGGATGTTCATTATTCCATACATAACAAGCATGAGACATGCAAGAACACAAATGTATTCATGCAACAGCTCAGCTTTTCTACAAGTGGGTCACCATATTGCTCCTGCTCAATTTATAACACTGTTATTCTGCCATATTTCTGGCCCAGGTGTGGAGAATAACCGCGGTCGGCAGGAACGAAGAGGCAGTCTGAGGCCCAGCTGTGATGCTGAATTTGCCAAAGCCTTAAAAGTGTTCTACCACAGCATGACCTCTGTTAGGGGGCAACTTCAGCGGCTGCGCAGACACAAACCCAGTGTAATTATGCCAATCAGCCTCTGCGGTTCAGATGTTTGACACAATCATTCCTGTGAAAGAATTTATACACATACCAGCAAAGTCTTTTGGGGTGTACAAGCTGAAACTGTAACTGAACGGGGCTTAAGAGAGAATTGATACATTGTGCGTTTGTGTCTCCATAGGAAGAAGCAGACCTGTTGGGTTTTAGACTGTTTGTTGATGAGCATACGTATCTTCTGAAGGACTTTTCTGAACAGCTGGAACAGTGTGTAACCACTCTGAAACAAGATGTGGCTGCCATCGTACGTCGAAAGAGAGAAAAGTCTGGGATTTGGTCCTGATACACCTATTAAAGGTGGGGTAGGTAGAAATTTTCTTAAAAACTTTTCCCCAAATTTTTTAAACTGTTTATGTATACCAATACATGATTACAATCTAAGTACTCTGAAAAAGAAAGTATATAAATCCAGTGTCTGTAGTCCTCTCAGTGCTGCAATAAACACAGTTCATTAATTCCAACTGGGACGAAAGAAATTATTGGCTGGGCGACTGTCAGTCTCCCTCGCTACCATGGCTACTAGAAAGCTAGGAAGAATTATGGCAGAGAAAGAGAAAATTTCTACCTACCTCACCTTTAAATCAATTATACTGCATAAAATTGTACATTTATAAGACTGATTCTTGTTGATTAAAGGGTTAAAGGTGTGCTACAAACACATTTGCTTGCAATTTTCATGATTCATGCTCTGATTTTGTCTTAAGAGTGCATTTGGAATGGGCTACTACACTACTACTATTTTTAAACAGCTAAATGCAGAATGCACTTTACGCACTGTGCGAAAATTGTGTTCTGGAATACTCTAACTCACGTCATTTGTCAAAATACATACAAACGCACCATATCGACTATTATATAACCGTGTACTACTTTTCAAATACATGGACACAGCTCTTAAACACTTTCACCCCAAAATACGATTTGATATGTGCTTTATTTAGTTAGAAACAAGCCAGAACAGCATTCTACAATCTTTCAGACACTCCCAGATTCATTGGTCTCTAAAACATTTTCTCTCATTTCTTGTATTAGTTTAACTGTCCTGTTCTAGTATTAGGATTCACAAATATAAACACTCATGACAATATAACTCAACTTTCAACTCTGGGAGTGCTTTAAATATGTTTTTAGAGATGTCTGTCATCTCTGAGAATGGCCATTTCTGTTACTGCTATATAAAAAAAAAAACCCATTGGAACAAAATTTAAATTCCAACCTTTCAAACAAACACGTGCGATATAATGGATGGATTTGTGCCGCACTTGTAGTTCAAATTTCTCAGCCATTTGAGCAGAGTGCATGCAAGTAAACTCATCCCAGTGTACTGTTTGCAAGCCAGGACACTAAACCGGAAGATAGCAACACTGCAAGATAGCTGAGGAAGCTTCAAATAGCAACATTTCTCAACGCTCAAGCAAGAAAATGAATAGGTGCTTCGGAAGAAGGGACTTAAAGGACGGAGAACTGAATGCCGTGTTTGTTGAGGCGGTCGATGAGGGTGGTCTTGGCGAATGCCGCTCCTGGAGTGTACACGCCGCCACTGTGGAGAGTAAACCCAATATCATACATTCAGGATGTGACACTTAATATCAACTGCTTATTTAGGTTTAGTTTTGAGGATATATGACAGTGACTGGATAAGTTGGCAGAACCCACGTTTTTGGAAGAGAATCGGATTCATTCAACATGGTAATGGCCGCTTGAACCATAGCGATTGGTGTGGCGACATATCCTGCCTCTGGAAAACACCACACAAAAAAGGAATATGAGAAATATACTGATGCAGCTTTTCATGTACACTAACATGAGGCTGATGCTAATGTGCATACCCGGTCCTTTGACCACAGTGCGGATCTTGCCGTTGGGTTTGCCCTCGGTGAGGTCCTGATCTTCAGTGTAACCCTCTCCAGAAAAGATGAAACGGAAAGAGGCGCCCTCCATCTGGAGACATCACATTTAAATGAAGCTGTCCATGTAATCATAAAGATTATAGCTGACACACTAGATGAAGATATGGGTGTAAAACCTGTTTTCTAGTTGGACCATCTTTGGAGAAGTAGCCAAATGAGAAAAACTCTGGAAACTGCAGACAAAGTATATTATTGATTATTAAACACAAGATCTGCAAGGTAGTCATCAAATTAAATGCAATATTTCAGCAATGGCTTTCACAAAATGATGGTTTACCTTAATAAGGAGATTTCTGCCAAAGCTGAACTTTACAAGGAACCAGAACATCAATCCACCGAAAACAAGCTTAAAAATGTTGGAAATACCGCCGATACCGACATACGCCCCATACTGAACCTGTAAAAAACATGTTGGTACAAACAATATTTGTAATATTTTTTTTCAATGCAGGTCATTTTAAATTGAACTGACTACATGAATTTATGAATTACTGCTTCAATTTTGCTGCAGTTTTCTTCAATATTTATTTCAGCTTTATTTCAATGAATGAAAACAATATTTAATCAGTTTTATAACTTACCGGTGACTCATTGAGTTCTTCATGCAAGTAGCGCTGGGTCCTTTTCACCACTGATGGGTCGGAACCCATGAAGGGAAGTGCATATTGCTGTACCTCTTTACTATAAAACAGCGCACCCCTGTAGAGATAGAAATTTTGTTTTAGTTGATAACAGACACATTTGTGTACGTTTGATGAACGACATTGTGCTGATACTCAACCATAACAGGCCAATCATAAACAGGTCATTAACACTACGATTAAAACATTTGGGGTCAGTAAGATGTTTTTTATTAATAAGTTTTATTCAAAAAAAGGATGCATTAAATCAATCAAAAGTTTCAGTAAATACATTTATAATGTAACAAAAGATTTCTATTCTGAAAAACAAATTATATATTATATATACATGAAATGGTTTTCTCATAAATATTAAGCAGCACAACTGTGTTTTTCACATCATCATCTGGAGTAATGGCTGTTGAAAATGTAGCTTCCTCACAGGAATAAATTACATTTTAAACCATATTAAAGTAGAAGACAGTTATTTTAAATAGTAATATTTCACTATTTTACATTATTACTGTTTTAACTGTATTTCTGATCAAACAAAAATGAGCAAAAGCGGCCTCGTACCAATCCCAAACTTTTGAATGGTAGTGCACATGCAGAGATCTTAAAGGTACAATGACATAAACAGGCTGTTTTCATTGTAAAGGTCAGAGAGAGAAAGGGTAGAAAATAATATAAATTACAATCAAGCAGACCCAGACAGCAACATAGTGTCAGCCCAGATCTGGCCCACATCTGGTACACGGGGAATCCATATCAGGTGCGTGTGGATTCCATGTGTACCAGATGTGGGCCGACACTATGTTGCTGTCTGCGTCTGCTTGTTGTTGTACACACCTCCTTTTAATTTTCGCCCCCACCACAGGAAGAGGCTTGTGACCAAACTTCTTCCTCAGGCCTCGCAACTTGGGGCCATCAGCTAAGCCATAGATGGCCGACTGCCAGGTGCCATCATGGATGCTGCCTCCCTACGGACACACGAGAATGTGGGTCAGCTGAGACTTAACCACAAAGGCCTTTTAAAAAACAGACTATTCCAATGTTTAATACTTCATATTTTTTTTAAAAAAATTAAATTTATGAGCACCAACCTCAGGTCCTGCATTTGCAGTCAAAAAGCTTTCAATAGCTGTTAATGTCCCTGGTAATGAAAACAAGAGCATATTAATATTACTAAAATATAGAAGTATTTAAAAATATCATATAATATGTTAGTTTAATATAATATAATTTAACAGAATATGACGCAATAATTACATGACAAACATACCTTTAAACTGGTCCCTGGTGTAAATGACGCCCATGTCTGCAGGAATGGAGTCAAAACCACAGCTTCCCACAACGTAGACGCCCTTTTCAGCGGCCTGGCCATGGTAGTTTAGCTGCATACTCTCCAGGAACTACAGAAAATACAATGAATTTTAACATTGCACTCAAAGCAAAATGTTGTTTCAGTCAACATGAAATCAAAATAGACCCAATTTGCTTGATAGCCATCTTTGGTCTTACAATTCATCATGTTATTACCAAAAATATGTCTATTATAATCTTTCATCAAAATAACTTGCGTCACCTCTGAAGCAAAATTCCTTTTTTCGTCTGAAGCCATCAAACCCAATTATTCTCGTTGCATGTTTCATTGAGGATTACGTCACATAATGGAAGTAACACGGATTGTGAATGCTTGACCTTAATATTGTTATGATCAAAACAAGTTTATGGATTTATTGTAAATGTGACAATGATATATAAGAACAAGGTCTCAGGAAAAGCACCTGAGGTTCTCCGGAGATATCGATGCAGTGTGCTCCGTTCTCCACGCAAGTTTTGACCACAGGTTCACCAAAAAATCGATACTGTAGAAAAACATAAAAAAAGTTATGAGTAAATATCAGTATATATACACATACAAATAAAATACAACAATATGTACACAGTATAAATATTTAAGAAATAATTGACGGCGGGCCGTTGAATTATTAGAAAAATATTAGATGATTTCGGAAGGATCATATGACACTAAAGACTGGAGTAATGATGCTGAAAATTCAGCTTTGCATCAAATGAATAAATTATATTTTAATATTCTTTAAAATATAATTTATTAATTTGATGCAAAGATTTTAATTTTGAATCTTTTATCAAATAGATGCAGGCTTTGTGAGCATAAGAAACGTAGAGACACCAAACTTTTGAATGGTAGTGTAAATGAACATTTATTTTATATAATATGTATTCCATTGTTGTCTAAATATATGAGAGAAAACAAAACAAAACAATCCTTACTCTTGTAGATATCCTTACAATTTTTAGACAAATTTTATTGAAAGAAAACTGAGGGAGATCATCTGAGGTTCAATGTACAAACATATTTATCTCTTTTTAAAGGACGGTATTGCAAAACCGCACATAGTCTCTCACTATGGGTGTGTTATCAGTTATCAATCTGATGTAGCAATCTGGGTAAACATGAGGCCCTTAAAAATTCAATAAGTAATTTATCAATAGCTTGAAGTTTGATGCCCAATCATATATAATGCTGCCCATAGATAAGTGATTCTGTGTCCTCCAGTCGGCGTACTTACAGGCCCCACACAGCTGAGCACAATGACTCCCTGTTTGCACATGGCAGCCAATGAGTCGGCATCGCTGACATCCGCGATGAGCACATCTACCTCAGACTTCAACTCCGGCTTACCTGAGAACAAACATTTTAAACATGACATACACTGTAATTATGCAAAGAGTGCTGCGTTATATGTCATATTTAATTCAAATAGACAATAACTTATTCACGTTTATGATATAATGTACTGTATATGCAAAACAGCCTAGGATGTAAAGTAACTTTGACCATAAAAATCCTTAATAGCCGAGTCGTTATTCAGTGTCCGGTCAGCCTACATTCATTCTTCGTGAAATCTAAATATAACTCTGAGCAATTGTTCTGTTTGAGCCAAAGCTACATGATTAAAGCCATGGAATATGTCATTGGAATATAATTTTCCATCAGCTGTTCAGGATTAATTAAACCATCCCAAAAGACCACCATGACCAAAGAGCCTATTGTCGAACAAAATGCATGCATATTATCCCAAGCTAAACAAGAAGGAATTTATTTGTCAAAGCAAAAAAAAGTTTCACTTAAAAAAATCAGTTCACTGGCGAATACCACGTTGTGGGTCAAAGTCAAGTCCAATCCAATATAGTTGTGTCATTGAAACCCTTCTAACACTTTGACATCTTTGCCAAGTTTGCTGCGCTTACAGTCTGGAATGTTTCCTCTTGTACTTCTGCTAAATGGATAACAGAATTTAGATGCAGATTTTGTTACTGCAGATATTCTTGCTAACTCAATATGCTCAACAATTCTGTACATTTTTACAAAAAAAAACAACAACCCAACAACAAAAAAAACAACAACAGAATTTTCTAATCGTATTACTGATATGCTATTATAGTATTTATGTATTTTTATATTACATTTCAGTTATTTTAATTGTAGCTATTTAATTGCTTTTCTCATTGCAATCGTTTTGTAAATTAGTTTTTTTTTTAATTACCATTTATTTAGTTTTAGTAGATCTATCATTAGAACTAGTGTTGGGTAAATGTAAAATTAATAGAAATCAATGCATACACAGCTCAAAATAAATAAATAAAATAAACAATTAGCCTTTCTTTGACTCTTGCAACATCTATTGGAAAAAGTACCATGATAACCAAAGTTTTGGCTAAAGTACATTATTGTAACACGAAGCACGATGGCATTTTTGTAGACCTGATTCAAGCATATTGCAGTTTTATTAGGTTCACTAAATTCAATCAAATACAGAGTTTGCTAAGTTCACCCACCGAGAACTTCGGAGGCCTGCTCAAGAACTTTCTCCAGCTTGGCTCTGTTCCTGCCGGCTACGGCCCATTTCAAATTCCCCTTGGGACCCTCGGATGCGGTGCGGGCCACCTCCTCTACCACAAACTGTCCCGTAAAACCCGAAGCGCCGAAGATGATGATGTGGTAGGGTCTGTTGGATGAGGTGCTGAACGCCGCCATAGCTGGAAGAGACAGACTGGGAGACTGGAAGAGACAGAGTGGGACCAGCGCGAGGAACACCTGACAGTTGACAGTTCAGCGACTGGAGATACTTCCGTAGGCGTCAGCCTTCAACATGAAGTTCAATGAAGAGGATCATCAATGCGCAGCTCTGTTTGCGCACCCTCTGAAATAATCGATCAAATCAGGGAGGAAGATGGATACCCAGGCGAGATTGCCTTAAATAATTATGCATAATATTGTTGTGAACACAAAAAAATCCGCATAAATCAAAGGAAGATCATTTGTATTGACCGAATATGAATGAACTGCGTCGATGATACGCATACAAACTTCTAGAACACAATCGTGCGATACGTCACATCTCCTCGTTTCTGATTGGTCTACTCGGATTGTGGGCGGAACATGTTTGGATGAGAAGATTCATTTATGTTTTCTGTAACGTGTTCACAACGATTTTGTTTTACATATTAGTGCATTTTAAAATATTTTTTTTAGATTTTCATATTAGTGCATTTTTGTATATATATATATATATATATATAATTATTATGCAAGCAATACAAAATGAATATATCTACTATTTTTTATTGTTCATAAAATATTTACAAACTTTGGCATGCAGATAGATAATTCATAGTCAGCATAATAGAACTATTATTCAAAAACCCATTTTCTTCTGCCATCTGACATTTTCATGAGATATGAGAAAATAGTAGTTTTTTTTTATCATCAACAAAATTTGTACAAACATTTGTGCATACATTGACATACAACATAGATATTACAAAGACTGTCACACTAGGGGGGTATTGTTAACTTATATGAAGATATTAAAGCACTTGCACATATTCAATGTTTTAGAAAATAGTGCACTGATCTGGAATTGATTGAATTGTGAAACGTCATCTCTTATTACAGGTGGTTGAAGGAGAGAGCTTGATGATGTAAGCTGAAAAACGTCTGAAAAAAAGTCATTTCAGATTTTTTTTTTTTGGATCTTTGAACAATGTGCACTCATGAGTCGTGCACAGTAAAGACAGTATTAAAATAATTTCATCTTGATTTTAATAATTAATGCATAATAGGACTTTAAAAACTTGTAAACTTGATTCAAATAATGGAAAGACACATCAGTCCCAACAATAAGATTTATTCACCATGTATTTTTGGTCAAAGACATCTCATTGGATTTTCCTTTAAAATTTTCTCCCAAGACAATAACTAAACAGATTTGAACCATACAATTAGGAAATACAGCAATCGTCACATGATATATACACAAAATCAAAATGAAAATAAACAAATATAGTTTCCAATGGTCTCTGTACAGACGGTATAAGAGAGTGCATGCACCAGAACGTGTGATTCTAAAAGACTTTTGTTTTGTTTTAAATAAATACTGAAAACTCACACAATAAAGACATTCAATGGTCATCTGAACCAGCCAGATAACACACAAATAAAAAAAGAAAAACAGACAACACAAAATAAAGTTGTACAGTTCCCGCCAAGTACTTTCACGCACTTGAGCAGAGCACAGCAAACTACACATTACTTTTACTTCATTAACTGCAGACATTACCATAGTAAGACTGTGCCTCAAAAGGAACATGTTCAAGACACAGATTCGGTAGCATAAACACAAGATGCACTTATGACAATAACCAAATAAGAATAAACATGAATTACAAAAACTAAGGATTTGAATACCATGATTATAATAACTGTTAAGAATATTAACAATAGATATGCCTGAGCAAATTATATTAAAATCTTATGACTTTCTTGTTCTAGTACCAATTTCATCTTAAAAACTTTCCATTGGTAAATACACTCATATCCTGGGGGCCTAGTTTAGGGGGAAACAAATTCTAGATACCACAGTTATCAATTCTATGGGGAAAAAGAAATATTTAGATTTGGCTATTTTTAAAGTCACCATGAAATCATTGTGGAATTTTGCCGTATTCATTATAAATGAATTATCAGTGCACATTATTTTTTGTGCCCTCATAATCTTTAATCAAAATAACTTCCCCTCCCTCTTTCAGTGACATCTCTTCTCTGATGATGCGCGTACTGACCAAAGGGCGGGGCAACCTGTCACTCACACAAGATCATCCAATAGCAAACCACAATGATCCAACGATCAAATCAATTCCCAATGAACAAAATCAAGCCCCGCCCTACAACCTTTCTTGTTCAAGAAGAAGACTCCCCTGATGATAGACGTCACAATACGGCTTTCACAACCTTTGCTTCATGTCGACTTTAAAAAGAAAAATAACTCAAAAAGTTTATGTGTAGACTAGAGCTGCATGATAAATTGTTTAAAGATCGCGATCTTGACTCAAACACCCAAGCAATTTGATTCTTAAATGACTATAAATGTATGTATGCATTTCTTTATACAGAAATATGTCTTTATAACAATCTCTTGATTTAATGGACCACTCTTTCAACAGATTCATTAAAAATGCTGATTCATTAAAACAAGTGGTCTTTATGAGTGAGTAAAATGAATCATTCATTCAAGAGATTTGTTCAAAAATGCTGATTCATCCAATAATGAGTCTTTGAGTGAGTCAATGAATCATTAATTCAAGAGATTTGTTCAAAAATGCTGATTCATCCAAACAAGTGGTCTTTATGAGTGAGTAAAATGAATCATTCATTCAAGAGATTCGTTCAAAAATGCTGATTCATCTAAACAAGTGATCTTTATGAGGGAGTCAATGAATCATTCATTCAAGAGATTTGTTCAAAAATGCTGATTCATCCAATAATGAGTCTTTGAGTAAATCAATGAATCATTCATTCAAGAGATTTGTTCAAAAATGCTGATTCATCCAAACAAGTGGCCTTTATGAGTGAGTAAAATGAATCATTAATTCAAGAGATTTGTTCAAAAATGCTGATACATCCAAATAAGTGGTCTTTATGAGTGAGTCATTGAATCACTAATTCAAGAGATTTGTTCAAAAATGCTGATTCATCCAATAATGAGTCTTTATGAGTGAGTCACTGAATCATTAATTTAAGGGATTCGCTCAAAAACGTAATTCATCCAATAATGAAACAAGTGCAGTCTTTATGAGTGAGTCAATGAATCAATTGACTTTCTGTCAGAACATTTAGTTGTATTTTCAGAATCGTAGGAGAATAAAAATTTCTATTTAAAAAAAAAAAAAAAAAGTGATTTCCAGGTTATCGTGCAGCTCTAGTGTGGACTTTTGTGTTACAAATTAATTTAAAAAATGATCTGCCATCTAACTAAATAAAAGAAGTATGAATTATATATATATATATATATATATATATATATAAAAAGCAATGTAAATTCAGTCTGAGGGTTTGTTTGACACTGCATCAGACTGAATTAAAGAAGATATCAATTATTAATTAATAATAAATCTAAATTAATTAATTAATATCAATGTTGTGTTAATAATTATCAAAATATTGCCAAATCTACCAGACAATTGTCTTTGCTTTTCTGTAACAATTAAAGGAAAACTATAGTCACTGGGATTTGACTGTATCTACTGTATATACAGCATCTATAATTCCTCAATATACATGTATTGCTTTCCTGTCCCTATAAACATTTTTATAAACAAGACCATCCAAGCCCACCACAGGAGAATGCTACGTCCAGGCTACAGATGGATATGTCCATTATTATATCTTCAGTACTACGGTGGTCATTCAACTTTTTAAATGAATATAAGACAACCAAATATTAAGATTTGAGATATAAGACTTTAAAAAAAGAAGTCTCTTCTTATGAGGTTCAGTTGATGGCAGTAAACAGTAGGCTACTTGAGTCGAAACTGGCCAAAGTGGTTTGCGGACGTCCCATTTAGGACCTTACAGACGGGCTCCTGTGTCAGTGTGACCCAGCAAAGGCCTATTTATGAGGATTTTTTCTCAGCATCGAAGATCACGGAGCCAACCGAGAAGAAGAAAATAACTCATCGTCCTGCTATGAGCTCGGGGACAGCCAGTGTTTGAGCTCGTCCATTCCCCTCTGCACCCGTCCGATGTAGAAGTCCATGTTATGGGAAAAGTCTGTGCACACACTGGATTGGGCGTCTCCGAAAGTGCAGTAGAGCGCAGTCCCGCCCACACTGATCACCACGGTAGCCAAGCACAACAAGAGGAGGAGGAGCCAGGAGTCCCCGCCCACCTCATCTGCATATCAGGCAAATCAATAGAGAATCAGAACAAGATCAACGTGAATACTGCAGAAATGAGATTTCAGAAAACAATACTGGTTCTTACCGTGGTCGAGGCCTTCGTCAGGTTCTCGGAAACGGACCTTTCTTTTGGGGACGGGTTTAGAGGCAGCAGGGGTGGAGCTGTTGGCTCCTTCCAGAGACACTCTTCTCTTTAAGATCGACACAAGACCAGCAGCTGGAGCGATCTGAAACACAGAAGACAGGTTATTGAGAAGGCTTGGAATGAGGATCTAATTTCATTTCTCACGAAAATGAGGAAAAGCTGTGCACTAACATACTTTACCCACTAGATGTCACTATGAGGGCTTAAACGTATCAAATACAGTGTGTTACAAACAATGGAACACTTGAGATGTACGATTTAGATACAAAAATGGAATTTATTGCCTTTTTGTGTAATAGAAACGAGCTGGTTTTGGTCTTTGACTGCCTGTATATGAGGTGTAGAATGTAAAATATAGCGTTAGATAATATAACGTTATCTATTTTGTCAGATTTAACAAGACATGTTTTCGGGGATTTAATTTTATATAAATTTTATATATATACACTCAAATAAGTATAAATACTTAATCTACATACAAGTCTAGAACATTTATATTTATAGTCAGGGTTACATTTTTATTTTAATGTTACCGGTAATCAAAATGTATACAAAAGAGAATTTATTCAGGTAAATTTGGCATAATTGTTGTTTTTTTTTTGGTTTTTTTTGCTATACTATACTATACTATACTATAGACCATTTCACAAGATGTAAACAACACTGGTCCAGAAGCACTTCCTGTTTCAGTTTGTAACTGTTTTCTTTATTTCAAATGTAAAGAAAACATCTTAAAGATATTTGTTTAACTTTTTGATTCAGTTTTAAATGTTCTGTTGGTTGTATTTTATCCCAGCTTTTATGTAGTGTTAAAAAACTGAAACAGGAAGTGCTTCTGGACCAGTGTTGTTTACATCTTGTGAAATGGTCTATACTATACTATATAGTATTTTCACCCTATCCAGGTAACATCTAGAAACAAAAATAATTTAACATGTCTCCAACAAGACTATACACAAAATAGCTCATAATAAATCTGTATTATCTCAAGAAAGTATGTTTAATAATCCATGTCCTTTAATATGCATCAGAGAACTGAAATCCATTTCCTCAGCACTTCATCTGAATTAGGCTTACCTTTACCCACCCTCATAAATGATGTACACGAGAATGAAAGTATTGGAGATGGAGATCATTCATGTTACATCACAAGCCACTGAGGAATGGAAAAGGTCAAGGAGAGGTCAAAATACTAAAGACCAATGAGCACTGAGAATGAGTGGACAATCTGAAGTGCTGCCCGTTGGCAAATCAATAATACCATGAATAAATCTGAATATTAATGATGACATGAGTGCATTTGTGTGGCTGTATAGCAGTTGTTAACTTAAACTAAAACTTTTTTGAAAAAAAAAATGTTTAATTGAAATAAAGATTACGAAAAGTAGCCTTTGCAAGTACTTAATCATTAAAACACTTGTTAACACACACCACTGATAAAAGCATAACAAATTGACTAAACCTTAAACTAAATAAAAAACTGAAAATGTAAAAATAAAAGATTTACCATCATTATTGCACTAAGTAATAAAGTGGGAAAAAAACATTGAAGTGAATTTAATTAAGAGGAATACACTGTAAAAAAAAATATTTTCAAGACTTGTTATCACAACATTTTTTCTTTTGTCAAATCAACTTAAATAATTTATTTAGTTCAGATAACTTATTATTTTAAGTTTCTGATGATTAATCAACATCCTTAATTGTATTAACTCATTTTTTCCAGTTCAATCAACTTAAAATTAAGGCAACCAGGTTACTTAATTTTTTAAGTTAAACCAACAATATTTTTTTACAGTGCAACTACTCCGATACCATTCATTTGAGCTCTTATTGAATTAAGACTCATTTAAACAAGAGTAACTTGGGATTGTTTTTCACTAAAAAACCTTGCTGTCAACACAATTCACCCAGAGAGCTTCCATATTCAGCAAGATCGGTCTCAATGAAAACAAATGTTTTTAAGCACCTCAATTATAGTTCTCTATTTTTGCTCCACAACAGCCATTGCATTTGTCAATTGAGACTAAAGCCAAAGATCCTATAAAAGTCTATATAAAATGAAAAATGAGGCACCCATAAAAAGAAGAACAGACCTTGCTCACAATGTCCTGTATAACTGAGATGTGTTTTGCCTTGGTTAAGGGAGTTGTTAGGTACATGAAGCAGTGTGCGTCAAATCACCCATTCACATAATCATCTCGATTCAGACTTTTACTTAAAGCTTTCAAAATGACTATATAACCTACTGAAGTAGGCTGATGTTCCTAAAAAAAAACCCAAAAAAAGTGTTCCTAAAAAAAGCCAAACAGTTCACTTCACTACTGCATAAAACTCTCTTTTTGTTTTTATGTTTTTAGGCTAAGTAGAAAAGCACATGAGCAGCGTGATGACTAGGACGAACAAACAAAAAACAGATGAATTAATCCCTTGAGTAATTAGACTTCAAAACACACATTCTGAGCCAAACAAGTGGGCCATTAACAGTGAGCGGTCAACATAACAGGCCAAAAATAACACATGCTTATCATCGCAAATTAAAAAAATCAGTTTCAACTCCTCAAACGTACTCAGATGGCCCTCTTATACAGAAAAGCATCACGTTTGATCAGTAGTGTGGACATAAATCAGTCAGGTAATGTTTGCTCTCTCTCTCTGGTCATTCAGGATAATTAGCCACATATCACTCCATCACTGACCATCCTGTACACACATCTAAATAACATCGACTCAGCAGTAGACCGTCAGAATAAACCCACTTCCAGGATGCTGTGCCATTAATTAATGATTAATATACTTGAAACAAACGGATATTTCATTTATTCGGTTGACAGACTGATCCCCCATATGATTTGGTAAACTACTGGTAGACTGACATCAGTGAGGCTGATTAATCTGATAATATTTGGCATTTTGGGATTACTGGTATTGATGGATAATGAATAGAACATAAGGATGGTTTTCAAAGATAAAAACAAAGAGTCTGCTCAATTTGAGCTATTTCGTTTACATCACATTAGGGATAAATAAACTTCTTTTTATAATTTATGTGCATATGAATCCTGCTCTGTAGATACTGACACTGATAGTGGAGGAACTAAATTGGTTTTAATTCATTATTTTATTTGGGAGGGATGCAATAAAATTGATCAAAAGGGATGGTAACCATTGTAAGTGTAATTTCATGTAAGTGTTGCTCTTTTCACTTTCTATTCATTTAAAGAATCCTGAAGAATTGTATAATGATATAAACTAATGATTTCTGAAGGATCATGCGACACTGAAGACTGGAGTAATGAAAATTCAACTTTGCCATCACAGGAATAAATTACATTTTTGATGCATTATATAAAAAACTTGTTTTTAAATTTTAATAATAATGTAATTTTTGACAATAATGTAATTTTTGTCATTTTTCACAATATTACTGTTTTTGTTATATTTTAGATCAAATAAATGCAGCCTTGGTGAGGCATATGAGAAAAAAAAGTCACTTTCAATTTAAAAAAAAAAAAAATTGTCAGACCCCATACTTTTGAATGATAGTGTAATGATAGTGTACAACATGCATGATGAATTTCTAAACAGATCCTAATTATGCTAGGGAGAAGACTGCTTATCCCATTCTGTCGGTGCTGTGTGTATCCAGGACATCAAGTCTACTAGAAATACACAATAACTAATGTTTTATTTGAATATTGCACGTTATAATACAAACACGTTTTGATTTAGTTTTCCAGGTCAGTAAGTTCTGTCTGGTTAAAAAGCATCAACATTTGATCCTACTGAGCACAATTGTTTGCACTCACACTCACACCATGTTTTCTCAGTATGTTTTCGACCTTTCCAAGAAAAAGAGACATACATGTTCAAAAGTCAAACCATTTTAACTAGCTTGAAAAACTTGACAATTGACGGTAGAGGCTGAAGGTCATAATATAATGAGTCAATGGCACCCTCTTTAAAATATCTTTTGTGTTTCACAGAAGAAAGACACTTTAGATGCACTGTTCGCCATGATGGTTTTCAATTGATTGAACTATGATTAGAACCAATTCAAAAAATAGAACATGTGCAACAGCGCAAGTCTGTCATATAGGTTACATAAATCATAATTGTGTGCTTGGAACATGGCTTTTTGTTTTTGTAATCAGGTTAACATTATATAAAAACACTGATTAACATTTATCAACCAATATATCGTTTATCGGCTTTCAAATAATATAAAGAATTATCGGTTATCGCTATTGGCCGAAACATCGGTGCATCCCCACCTTTAACAGAACAATTTTGGCCCTTTAAAGGGATACTCTACTTTTTGGGAAATGGGCTAATTTTACCACTCCCCCAGAGTTAAACAGTTGAGTTTTACCGTTTTCGAATGCATTCAGACGATTTTTTTTTTTTTTATATTTACAAGAATATCAGTAACCAGACAGTTTCTGGTCTCATTGACTTCTTCCATAGTATATATTTTTTTCCTACTATGGAAGTCAATGATACCAGAAACTGTCTGGTTACTGATATTCTTCTAAATATCAGAAAATCGGCAGAATGGATTTGAAAATGGTAAAACTCAACTGTTTAACTCTGGGGGAGTGGTAAAATGAGCCTATTTCCAAAAAAAAGTGGAGTATCCCTTTAAATTGATAATACACTATAAGATAATTCACAAAAAAAAAATTCACAATTTATTTCATTTGCGACTATGCACCCATCACATACTCTTAGCATTCAAAATTATGGGGTCAGTGTTCTTTTACCGAAGAAATGCTGAAAAAAAAGTATCATGATGGTCTCCACCACATGACTTTCAACATTGACAATAATAAGAAATGTTTCTTGAGCGGCAAATCATCATATTATAATGATTTCTGAATGATCATGTGACACTGAAAACTGGAGTAATGATGCTGAGAATACAGATTTAAATTTTACATTTTAAATATAATTAATTATATTTAAACATATCATGAAATAGAAAACAGTGCTTTTAAATTCTAATGGTATTTCACAATATTAAAACTTGAACAAATTAAAATAGCTGTTTTTGTTGTATTTTTTAGAGCCCAGACTAAACACTAATTCCTGAAATCAAGAGCCCAAAGAGACTGCGCATGACATGTTTGGGCACACAGCACAAAAGCCTTAAAGACACAGGTTCATGAAAGCCTGTATTGTGCTGGCAGAGATCATTGGTCCAGATTCTATTGTTGATTGTCTCATTGAGGGTGAAAAGTGTCATTATGACATCACACATGGCTGTCTGTTACAATCATTCAGCTTTGGCATTCAGGGGAAAGGTCACCCTTCAGGTCATCCAGCTCCCTCTCAATCACTGCTAAGATTCCCATATCTATTATGCATGTTCTTATCAGACGCCTTCTCACCACAGTAACTTACAAGAAAGTGAAAGAGGTAATTACCAAGCCAGGGAGCTGAGATCACACACAACACGCTGAGCTTAAAAAAAAAAAAAAACAAGTACACCAAGGGACATACAATAATCACAAACACATCATGCTCCTACATGTGGTTGCCACAGACGAGTCCTTAAAGGGATAGTTCACCCAAAAAATACTTAAATCACCCTCAAGTTGTTTCAAACCTGTATGAGTTTTTTCCTTTTGTTGAACACAAAGAATGTTAGTAAACACACAGTTGACAGTATCCACTGACTTCCATAGTAGGAAAAAAAAAAAAAAACTATGGAAGTCAATGGGGTCCAACAACTGGCTTGTTACCAACATTCTTTAAATATATTCTTTTGTGTTCAGCAGAAGAAAGAAATTCTTACAGGTTTGGAACAAATTGAAAGTGAGTGAGACAGAATTGTTATATTTTAATGAACTATCCCTTTAAGCTCTGTGGTGATATGCTGTCGATTGACAGTCAATAAAAAAGAAAAGAAAATGAAATAATCAGACAAAAATGTGATTCTTTTTTCTATTTATATGAATCTATTATGATTCTTTTATGTTTAATAAAACCATACAATGTTATTATTTGAAGCTGCAGTCCATAGTTTTTCCTCTTTGTCGCCATCTCTGTTCGAATTCTACAATTGCAGATATTTGCGAATTATCAACTTTACGAGGGTTGTGCCTCGGCACGGCACAGCACGGATGAACACAATGTTTGAGGAGAGTGTTGCTGTCAATCACCGCACCGGTGAGGAGACTGTCTCTCAGAATCACAGATTATTATTTTTGGAAGTATGACCAAACCAACATAATAATTTTTACCGGAAAATGAAATCTGAACAAGTAAGTAACATCCACTTGTTCTGACCAACTAAGGGAAAAAAAATCATTGCAGTAAATCGCGCTGATTAAATCTAACAATCGCTTATCAAACCGTGCAAATTATACTTTGTTCTCAAATTGTTAATGTTAATAACATCAGCATTGCGTGACTACATTTAATGCCCTTCAGATATTATCCTTGTTTTCGCATTATATTATATTATTATTATAATAATCTTGATACCCTCAGTATGAATGGTTTAAAAAGAGAGACTTATTTTAATTCTTTAGTGCATAAAATAAGTAATTGTTCATTATATATTATTCATATTGGCTGCAAAACTGTCCTAGCATTGGGACTACTGTTATAGGTGGAAATCGATATAAACAGGATTCCCTTTCTATTCCTATCATGCACAATTTACCGGGGTTGAAATAAGGATATTATTATTGCATAGAGAAGGTTTCGGTCTCAGTCAATCTGTCTCAGAAAACAAAATTATAGTATTAACTTGACAACAATGTTATTGAGGTGATGAGGGTATGCTATGTAAGATGATGACATCACTCTGACATCACTGGATGCTGTTAGCATAGTGATGCTAACAGCTTCTAAATCTTAAAGGAAATGAAGTTTCACGAACCATTTTAATAGGTGATGTGTGGAATCCTTCCAAATTTAATATACTTTTAATGTACTGGTTTTTAAGCAAACCATTTTGCCCATGCTTAACCTTTAAATCTCTGCCAAATGTGCATACTATTCATAATATATGGAGAATATAAAACATTTCCAATCTAAGAGTCAGTAAAAGCTTAGGAAAGTGGTAATTTAAAAAAAAAATCTGATTAGAAATCATCCCAATTCTCAAAACAACACATGAGAATATGAACTAAATTGACTGAAAAATCTCTGTTACTCACCTCTTCCACCTGTATGCGCTTGGCCATGTCATCCAGCATAGATACATTAATAATATCCAACAACTCCACCCCATTCCCATTCTCCTCTAGCTCCAACTCTGGTGTATTTTCAGGAATATCCTGTTCATGATGTTCCTGATCTTCACCTCCTTCCTCCAGCTTTAGAGCCTCTTCTATCTCCCCTGTGAGTGGCACATCTTGCCCCGTATCCACAGTGTCCCCCGTCCCCTCCATCACCACTCCGGGGCCGATCGTATCAGTCTGAAGCTTCACGTTGGCTGGTTGAGCAGTGTCCATTGGAGACTCGGGCACTGGTGAGGCATCCCTGTGGGAAGCTGGCACACTTATGCTCTCTTCCTCTGCCCCTGAATCCTCACAGGCTGGAGAGGAGGAGCTGTGCACCCCGGCTGAGGAGGAGGAAGAGTGTGTGTCCGACGAGGGGGAGGGGTCTTGCTGATGTTCGCTCTGGTGGGATTGTGGGGCAGTGCTACAGTCTTCAGGATGAATGACTTCCTGTTGTACCTCGTATGTACGCTGATCCTCCATAGCCTTCCCTGTTTTAGATGGAGAGAGAGAAGATGGGTCATATAACACAGCATGGAATACCATCACACTGCATATGGCACAGTATGCAACGCATATTGTCCGCTTTTTGTTAAAACAACATACGTCAAATATTTCAACCTCAAAATTTCATCAATATCATGTCACTGTTTAATTATGCAAGTGGAGTTCATTTCATACTGTTTTATCTCATTTTTAATGTAGATTTTTTATTTGATGTTTTACAATATAATATTATAAATGTATAGATTTAATTTAACAATTAAAATAATATTTAATAATACCAACATACAGTTTTCTTAGAGAAAGAGTCCCCCCAAAATAATTCATAAAATATTGAAATTAATAATATATATATAAGATATATATATATTAGGGCTGGGCAACGATTAATCGCGATTAATCGCATCCAAAATAAAAGTTTGTGTTTAGATAATATGCGTCTAGTGTGTATAACTATTTTGTATATAGAAATACACACACATGTACTGTATATATTTAAGAAAAATGTGTTTAAAATATTAAAATATCAAATATTTATATTTATATATAATTTTAATTCTGTATAAATATATATAAAGTATTTACATGCACAAATTATGTACATATATTTATTTTATTATTAAAAAATGTAAAATATAAATATTATAATATATAAAATATAAAAAATATAAAATTTTAAATGTATATTAGTATTTATATTATTATTAAAAAATGTAAAATATAAAAATTATAATATAAAAAATATCAAATATAAAATTTTAAATGTATATTATTACAATTATACACACCACACACACATATATTATGTAAACACAAACTTTTATTTTGAATGTGATTAATCGCAATTAATCGTTGCCCAGCCCTAATATATATATATATATATCCATCCATCAACACACATATCTATTTATCGATCATCTATCTATCTATCCATCTGTGTGTGAGTAATAATTTAAATAAATTACCAGTTTGTACACAAATGTCCAAAAGAAACAGTTCACCCGTACATTTATTTTAAGTTTGCTCTCCCTCATGTTGTTCCAAACATGTATGACTTTCTTGCTTCTATGAAATGGTGAATTTTCAAAAGTTGTGAATTAACAGGGTGTCAATTCTTACATTTAGAATTTTGCCCAACCCTGATAAATTCTGGAAAATAAACTAGCATTATCATTATGGTCGCATGCTATTCGGAAAGGAACATACCCGCTGTCCCTCACCCCCACCTGCCTGCACTGTGTCTGATTTCCATGAGTTGAACGGCCACGTGGTCATTTGAGCATCAGAGCAGCCCTCGTTTACAACAGAACAGATCAATGGAAGACGATCGATCACTTGCGACGCATCAAGGCCCTGTTGCCTGAAGGCGCTGTGCTGCTCAGAGACAGGAAGTGATGACAGCTCGCCGCAGTCAGACACATGACAACCAGCGCTGGGCCTGATACGGTCCACCACTCATTTTCTACTAAACTACACTCTCCCTGCTGTCTTCCAACAGTTTAGGGACCAGATTTACTAACAGCTTGTGCCAGCGCAAACCCTCTTTTGGTGATAAAACACTATTGTCAGGATTCAAAAGACGCGCAGTGAAAAATTAGGCATGGACAGTTATTTTTGCAGATTACATTATTGCATATGCATTTGTAGTCCCTTTCAGGTGCAAAATGTATGGGAGAAAAGAATTTAAATGAATTATGCAAGGCGATATACTAAGATTTGCGGTCGTCAACTTACTGGTATTTGTGCCATTATTTACCGCCCTTAAACCAGATGCTTTCTACTCCCATTGGCGCTTTATTGTAATTTCATTCGTATGATAATTTGCCCCGTTTAGTAAATCTGGCCCTAGGACTAGAGGGCAATGAGACTTAGTCCCGAGTGCAAAAATGGAGGCTCTAAACCCTTCCAGAGCTGAGATATCGAAACTCAAAATTTCGACCCGAAAAAAAAAACGACAGTGGTACCCCTTACGTTTTTTTGGGGGGGCAAAAATTAAGTTTCCCCAATCTTCTCAAAACTCTGGATTCTGATAGAGGGCAATAAGACTTAGACCTGAGTGCAAAAATAGAGGCTCTAGAGTAGACCCTTCCACAGCTGAGATATCGAAACTCAAAATTTCAACCCGAAAAAAAAAAAAAACAGTGGTACCCCTTACGTTTTTTTTGGGGGGGCCAAAAATTAAGTGTCCCCAATCTTCTCAAAACTCTGGATTCTGATAGAAGGCCATGAGACTTAGTCCTGAGTGCAAAAATGGAGGCTCTAGACCCTTCCAGAGCTGAGATATCGAAACTCTAAATTTCAACCCGAAAAAAAAACGACAGTGGTACCCCTTACGTTTTTTTTTTTCGGGCGAAAAATTAAGTATCCCCAATCTTCTCAAAACTCTGGATTCTGATAGAGGGCCATGAGACTTAGACCTGAGTGCAAAAATGGAGGCTCTAGACCCTTCCAGAGCTAAGATATCGAAACTCAAAATTTCTACCAGAAAAAAAAAACGACAGTGGTACCCCTTACGTTTTTTTTTTTTCGGGCGAAAAATTAAGTATCCCCAATCTTCTCAAAACTCTGGATTCTGATAGAGGGCCTTGAGACTTAGTCCTGAGTGCAAAAATGGAGGCTCTAGACCCTAACAGAGCTGAGATATCGAAACTCAAAATTTCGACCCGAAAAAAAAACGACAGTGGTACCCCTTACGTTTTTTTGGGGGGGCAAAAATTAAGTTTCCCCAATCTTCTCAAAACTCTGGATTCTGATAGAGGGCCATGAGACTTAGTCCTGAGTGCAAAAATGGAGGCTCTAGACCCTTCCAGAGCTGAGATATCGAAACTCAAAATTTCGACCCGAAAAAAAAAACGACAGTGGTACCCCTTACGTTTTTTTTGGGGCGAAAAATTAAGTTTCCCCAATCTTCTCAAAACTCTGGATTCTGATAGAGGGCAATGAGACTTAGTCCTGAGTGCAAAAATGGAGGCTCTAGACCCTTCCAGAGCTGAGATATCGAAACTCAAAATTTCGACCCGAAAAAAAAACGACAGTGGTACCCCTTACGTTTTTTTGGGGGGGGCCAAAAATTAAGTTTCCCCAATCTTCTCAAAACTCTGGATTCTGATAGAGGGCAATAAGACTTAGACCTGAGTGCAAAAATGGAGGCTCTAGACCCTTCCAGAGCTGAGATATCGAAACTCAAAATTTCGACCCGAAAAAAAAACGACAGTGGTACCCCTTACGTTTTTTTTGGGGGGCAAAAATTAAGTGTCCCCAATCTTCTCAAAACTCTGGATTCTGATAGAGGGCCATGAGACTTAGTCCTGAGTGCAAAAAATGGAGGCTCTAGACCCTTCCAGAGCTGAGATATCGAAACTCTAAATTTCAACCCGAAAAAAAAAACGACAGTGGTACCCCTTACGTTTTTTTTTTTCGGGGCGAAAAATTAAGTATCCCCAATCTTCTCAAAACTCTGGATTCTGATAGAGGGCCATGAGACTTAGACCTGAGTGCAAAAATGGAGGCTCTAGACCCTTCCAGAGCTGAGATATCGAAACTCAAAATTTCGACCAGAAAAAAAACGACAGTGGTACCCCTTACGTTTTTTTTTTTTCGGGCGAAAAATTAAGTATCCCCAATCTTCTCAAAACTCTGGATTCTGATAGAGGGCCATGAGACTTAGTCCTGAGTGCAAAAATGGAGGCTCTAGACCCTTCCAGAGCTGAGATATCGAAACTCAAAATTTCGACCCGAAAAAAAAAACGACAGTGGTACCCCTTACGTTTTTTTGGGGGGGGGCGAAAAATTAAGTATCCCCAATCTTCTCAAAACTCTGGATTCTGATAGAGGGCCATGAGACTTAGTCCTGAGTGCAAAAATGGAGGCTCTAGACCCTTCCAGAGCTGAGATATCGAAACTCAAAATTTCGACCCGAAAAAAAAACGACAGTGGTACCCCTTACGTTTTTTTTTGGGGGGCGAAAAATTAAGTTTCCCCAATCTTCTCAAAACTCTGGATTCTGATAGAGGGCCATGAGACTTAGACCTGAGTGCAAAAATGGAGGCTCTAGACCCTTCCAGAGCTGAGATATCGAAACTCAAAATTTCGACCCGAAAAAAAAAACGACAGTGGTACCCCTTACGTTTTTTTTTTGGGGGGCGAAAAATTAAGTTTCCTCAATCTTCTCAAAACTCTGGATTCTGATAGAGGGCCATGAGACTTAGTCCTGAGTGCAAAAATGGAGGCTCTAGACCCTTCCAGAGCTGAGATATCGAAACTCAAAATTTCGACCCGAAAAAAAAAACGACAGTGGTACCCCTTACGTTTTTTTTTGGGGGGGCGAAAAATTAAGTATCCCCAATCTTCTCAAAACTCTGGATTCTGATAGAGGGCCATGAGACTTAGTCCTGAGTGCAAAAATGGAGGCTCTAGACCCTTCCAGAGCTGAGATATCGAAACTCAAAATTTCGACCCGAAAAAAAAACGACAGTGGTACCCCTTACGTTTTTTTGGGGGGGCGAAAAATTAAGTTTCCCCAATCTTCTCAAAACTCTGGATTCTGATAGAGGGCCATGAGACTTAGTCCTGAGTGCAAAAATGGAGGCTCTAGACCCTTCCAGAGCTGAGATATCGAAACTCAAAATTTCGACCAAAAAAAAAACGACAGTGGTACCCCTTACGTTTTTTTTGGGGGGGCGAAAAATTAAGTTTCCCCAATCTTCTCAAAACTCTGGATTCTGATAGAGGGCCATGAGACTTAGTCCTGAGTGCAAAAATGGAGGCTCTAGACCCTTCCAGAGCTGAGATATCGAAACTCAAAATTTCGACCCAAAAAAAACGACAGTGGTACCCTTACGTTTTTTTTGGGGGGGGGAAAAATTAAGTTTCCCAATCTTCTCAAAACTCTGGATTCTGATAGAGGGCCATGAGACTTAGTCCTGAGTGCAAAAATGGAGGCTCTAGACCCTTCCAGAGCTGAGATATCGAAACTCAAAATTTCGAC